TGATGCACTCTGAAGACCAGTGAGGTCACCCCACTGATGCACTCTGATAGGCTGTGCCCGCCCTGGATGTGGAGGCGGAGCCAAGGGCCAACATCAGCTGGGGCGTTCTGTTGCACGGGGCCTCCGCTTCTGCTTCCAAACAAAAATATAAAAACAACACGATTGTTTTTGCTCCCACGTTTCATGAGCTGAACTCAAAGATCTAAGACGTTAACAGCTACGTTATAAAGACGCAGAAAACTAAACAGGAACGTCTGCGCTGGGTTTTGCCAGGAACATGTTTAAAATCCCTGAGAGGTCGAGAGCTTCAGATCTTTATGCAAGGTGTTCTTTCTTTGCCCTTTTGTCACGTTCAGTCTGCAGTGAGGGGACACTGCAGGTAATTATGTCCTGAGAGTGCACCCTGTAGAACGCACTGCGACTGTAAAATAACGGTGACAATCTTAAGGGGAAAAATGTAATAAAGACTTATTTATTTATTGCCTTTCAGCTGCTCCTTCTTCAGAGGTCCCCACAGAGAACTAACTCCCACGAAGACTTGGAGATTGTTTTGACGCTGGATGATCTTCCTGACACGACCACAGACACCGAGCTACCACCGCCTCTGTGTGGAGCAGAGAGCTGCTCTAGGGCGCCCGGGGAGCAGAAGGTGGGGGTTAAGGGCCTTGCTCAAGGGCCCAGAGTGGGGCAAATGGAGGTGGAGACAGGTGTGGGTGCTTCACCTTTCACACCCACATTTTTTATGTTGTCGGTACAGGGAGTCAAACCAGCAACCTTCCTATCACTGGCCCACCTTCTCTAACCTCTGCGCCACCACTCCCTTATAATAAAGATAATAATAAATACCTTATAATAAACGTACTAAAGATATTTAACATATAACATTTCATAACTGTTAGTGGAATAGAGAGCATATTACGGTTCATATATGTTAATAAATAAAGGTTAATAATAATCAATAATGTTCAAGTAGTCGGAGATCCCTTTAAGGAAATGATTCAAAAGACAAATTACAAGAGACTGAAACATTTTAGGGTTATATAGTACGAAATGCTTCATGTGTCTTACCTTCCCTCGTTCCACTTCTTTGGTGGTCATAACGATGACTCGAGAGTCCTCCTGAAAAACCATCCTCCAGAAGTCACTGATGGTGTTCTGCAGGCAGCCCTGAGTGGCGATGTAGTTCTTTCTGGACCTGCTGCTAATACATTTAAGGTCTGCGTCCGTCTACACGCGCACGCACGCACACACACACACACACACACACACACAGAACTAAGCATCGCTCTCATAAATGACTGACAAAACACCACAATAAAAACAACTAGGCATGTGTTGGCCATTAGTTTCAAGGTGTTCTCGGTGTGAAAAACTCTATTATACTATTCCTACGATTTAAATGACTTTTAATAAAGATATCTGTGACAAAGGGTTTTCACCCCCCTCTACGGTTGGGTGACAGTCAACAAGTTTCCCACGAGCCATCGCCAGAATAACAATAGACAATATTTGGCACAACTGTCTTTAAGTTTTGTTTCTAAATAAAAGCTCGTTCATCATTTGATGCATTCTGGAATTTGTCTTCATATCAAGAAACCGTTGTATTTTTGACTATTGTTGCCAAATATTTTCCTAACAGAGCACTTCGCTCTCAGACTGCAGGTTTACTTGTGGTTCCTAGAGTTTCCAAAAGCAGAATAGGAGGAAGCTCTTCCAGTTCTCAGGCTCCTCTCTTGTGGAACCAACTTCCAGTTTCTGTCCGTGAGGCTGACACATTGTCCAGTTTTAAGACTGGGATTAAGACTTTCCTATTTGATAAATCCTATAGTTAGGGTTGGCTTGGGTTTCCTGAGCTGTCCTTTAGTTATGTTGCTATAGACTTAAACTGCTCGAGGACAAACTGACCACACTTCCTCTCTGCTGCTCTTTACTTGCTCTACCTGCTTGTAATTATTTCTATCTTAACATGTTTTTTTGTCTTTCCTCCTATAGAAAGTTCACATGGACTACAGAAAGTACACCTGGACTATAGAAAGTACACCTGGACTATAGAAAGTACACCTGGACTATAGAAAGTTCACATGGACTATAGAAAGTACACCTGGACTATAGAAAGTACACCTGGACTATAGAAAGTACACCTGACTATAGAAAGTACACCTGGACTATAGAAAGTTCACATGGACTATAGAAAGTTCACCTGGACTATAGAAAGTTCACCTGGACTACAGAAAGTTCACCTGGACTATAGAAAGTACACCTGGACTATAGAAAGTTCACCTGGACTATAGAAAGTACACCTGGACTATAGAAAGTACACCTGACTATAGAAAGTACACCTGGACTATAGAAAGTTCACCTGGACTACAGAAAGTTCACCTGGACTATAGAAAGTACACCTGACTATAGAAAGTACACCTGGACTATAGAAAGTTCACATGGACTACAGAAAGTTCACCTGGACTACAGAAAGTTCACCTGGACTACAGAAAGTACACCTGGACTATAGAAAGTACACCTGACTATAGAAAGTACACCTGGACTATAGAAAGTTCACATGGACTACAGAAAGTTCACTGGACTACAGAAAGTTCACCTGGACTATAGAAAGTACACCTGGACTATAGAAAGTACACCTGACTATAGAAAGTACACCTGGACTATAGAAAGTACACTTGAAATACAG